TTTTTTTAAAAAGTACTGTTTTAAAGGGGCAGTCATTTTTCATTGCCTAAAGTACAAGAAAAATTCCTTTAATTATCATGCCTTGGGGATCCCCTTAAACTACCTGCAAAGTTGTACAACTGTACAATGTATAGAACTTGCTGCAGCAGGACTGACATTTTTTTTTAAATTACATTTTTATTTTTATTTACCAGATCCAGGGTAATTTTTTGTAAAAGCCTGGTAGGACTTTTAAGGGGAACACCACCCCCAAAAAATGGGGGGGAAGCATGGGGTCCCCCTACATTTTTACCAGACCATTGATCCAAGCACAGGCATGGTGGGGAGTAATGAGCACCCCCCCCCCACTCAGCAGCTTACCAGGCCATGTGCCCTTGGTATTGGGACGGTGTCCCTATGCCGATGGGGACAAGGGCCTCTTCTTCACAACCCTGGCCCGGTGATTGTGGGGGTCTGCGAGTTGAGGAGCTCATTAGCATCAGGGTGATTCTGCCCTCCCTCGAGAATGAGTAAGGGGTACTCGTACCCCTACCCATTCTTTAACCATTAGCCGCCCAGCCTATAGCCGTTTGGCGGCCGCAAAAATGCTCTAGCTTTCCGGGTGCACGCCATTTGGCGTCCTCCCGCACATGCGCAGTTCACGCTGTTGCAGAGCCGCGCAGCGGCGTGATCTGTCACCAGCCGTGTACCTCGGACACGGCCGATGACAGATCTGAGTACCGGCCCCCGTTGCCGGTACCATGTGACCTGTTGTGACCAATCACAGCAGGTCACATGACAGTTGTATACAATGGATGGCTTCATTCATGCCATCCATTGTACACTAGTGCCTAGCTGGGAATGGTCACAGCAGGTCACATGCACGTGTCATGTGATTAGCTGTGGCCAAATCACAGCTAAGCACAAAAAAAAAAAAAAAAAAACCCTGAATGAATCGATTTCATTCAGGTAAATGCTTGTGCAAATTGTGTAAAAAAAAAAAAAAATACTGATCACTTCCCCAAAGTAGAACAACGTTACTATGGTAACATTGTACTACATTGGTCATAGTAAAATATGAAAAAAAATCTTTAAAAAAAAATGTAATAAAAAATAAAACAAATAAAAAAATTTAAATTTTTTTTTCATGCTGTCACCAGTCAGTGTCCCTGATCACCGCCATGCCAGTTATATGATGACGCTGTACTGCACTGGTGACAGTATGTAAAAAAAAAATAGTGAAAATAATTTTTTACATTTTTTCATTTTCCGAAAAATTATGGCAAAAAAAATACAACTTCAAAAAACTCGCCATTCCTCTTATGAAGTACGTCGGACTGTCTACTCTGCAAAAAGGGGTAATTTGGGGATATCTGTACTATTCTGACATTCTTGGACCTCAAGAAATTACATTGGCTGTCAGTACTTCAGGATTGATCAATTTTCAGATCTATCCCATAGTTGTGAACTCTATAACTTTCCTACAAACTAAATAATACATCCTAATTTGGGTTTTTTTTCACCAAAGACATGTAGCAGAATACATCTTGGCCTAAATTTATGAAGAACAATTATTTATTTGTAAACTTTTATAACAGAAACAAAGAAAAACGTGTTTTTTTTGTTCAAAATTTTTGGTCTTTTTTTGTTAATTTAGCAAAAAATAAAAAAAAACCCCAGCGGTGATTAAATACCACCAAAAGAAAGCTCTAGTTGTGTGAAGAAAATGATAAAATTTTAGTTTGGGTACAGTGTTGTATGACCGCGCAATTGTCATTCAAAGTGTGAGAGCGCTGAAACGTGAAAAATGGCCTGGGCAGGAAGGTGTAAAATTGCCCGGTATTGAAATGGTTAATACTTAAAATGGTGTACATCAACACAATGGCGGTTATCTAGATCTTTTCTACATATATATGAAAATGTAGCTATACGGAAGTACTAAGTGCCTATCTAATTTCTTGAGGCCCAAAACATGTTTTTTTATACAAAGTCGTCAATTTATAAGATATTTCTAACACATAGCATTGACATACTAAGAAATACACCCCAAAATACATTTTGCAACTCCTCCTGAGTATGGCGATACCATGTGTGAGACTTTTTCACATGATGTGCAGTGGGAAACTTTTGCAGATGTTGTTGTGCACTGGGACACTGACAGATGATGTGATGGTACACTGGGCTACTATTTCAGATGTTGTGCACTGGGACACTGTAACAGATGCTGATGTGCACTGGGACACTGATGGATGTTGACGGTCCACTGGGACACCAACAGATGTTGATGTTGCAATTGGACAGTGACAGATGTTGATGTTGAAATGGAACACTATTGCAGATGTTGATGGGACACTGGTATACTGTGACAGATGTTTTTGTGCACTGGTAATTTGACAGATGTTGATCGGACACTGGGACAGATGTTTTTGTGCATTGGTACACTGTGACAGATGTTGAAGTTCCACTAGGGACACCGTCTGATGTGAACGATCCACTAGGGACACCGACAGATGTTGATGTTGCAATGTGACACTATTGTAGATGTTGATGTGCACTGGTACACTGACAGATGTTTTTGTGCTCTGGTACACTCTGACAGATGTTGATGGTATAACGGTACACTGTGACAGATGGTTTTGTGCACTATTACACTGTGATAGATGTTCTTGTGCACTGTGGCAGATGTTGATGAGATGCTGAAAATCTGAGACAGATGTTTTTGTGCACTGGTACACTGTGAAAGATGCTGAGGGTACATGCATACGCTGTGACAGATGTTGAGGGTCCACGGGCACACTGACAGATGTTGACGGTAGATTGGCACACTGTGACAGATGTTTTTGTGCACTGGTATACTGTGACAGATGTTGATGGGACACTGAAACAGATGTTGATTTGCTCTTGGACACTAAAATATGGTGATTGGTGTACTGTTTACATATGGCTGAACTGTGTGGGATCTGTGTGTAGCTGCACAGTAAAATCAGCAGCTACACACAGATTCCTGACAGGCTAAAGCAATCCACTCTCCCCTTCCTCACTGAGCTCTCTGTGTGAGAAGGAGAGCCAATACAGAGGCACATTTCCCTGTTTACACTGTGTGATAGCCATGATTGGTCACAGACATCGCATGGTCGGGAGGCCAATCAGTGAGCCCATGTCCCAATCTGAGAGACAGAGCCATAACAGAATCGCACAAGTATGAGAAGTGGGAGGACATATCTATATATCCACTCAGAACTTTGCTTGTCCTACCCATTTATATGCAGTGGCCAGGCGGGAAGTGGTGAAAGGAGCTTCCATAATCCACAGGATCCAGTTAAAGCCTTATATACTCTAAACACCAAAAATTAATTTTATTTCACCTTCCCCTTTGACTGCAATACATTGTCCCAAAGTGACTAAATTTCATCCAAATTTACTGCTTTTCATCACAATTTTGAGGCAATGAAAACTCTTCATTTCATTCATCCCTAATAGAGGGTCTGCAGCTGGTGGTTAATTCGCAAATTTTTGTTTTATAATCTTAACTCACAATAAATAGCAAGCAACTAATGTTATCCACAATATATTTGCAGTAGTGATAATCTTGGAGTCTCAAACAAATGTATCATAGATTTCACTTAATCAAGAACTTTAACAGATCGTGTCAATGGAGCCTCTTGCTACAAGATTTTTCACTCTGACAGTGAGGAGACCAGCAACCATGGAAATATGGCCAACACAGCCAACAGCTGCTTAGAATGAATTTCTGTATTTGTAGCCCTTGGCTCCATTTAACTGAAGTCTCCCATTTAAAGTTCTTTTCTTAAATAGTTTCACATAAAAACTGAATAAAAACTTTAATGTTGTCTAGAAGAGGATTTGGATTCAGAGACACGCCATGCTTTTCAATTGCTTCTCTAAATGTCCTTTTTGAGGCATATTATAAACAAACTGTATGATGTGCCGAGGTGTTAGACTGTGAAAGGTATTGGAGCTTGTCTGGCATTTCTGTGTCTGCTTGTTTTGAAAAAGGAGATTGAATGTCACAAACAGACATAATGAATTCTTAGGAGGTCTCATTGCTAGATGTAAGTTAGCACAGAAATATAATATTTCAAGGTTGAAAGCCTCAAAAACTCATGCAAGAGCTGTTGTTATAATTGCTGATCATATTACTAATTAAAAGCATTATGTATTTTCTAAGCTGGAATCTGTAAGGAGTAATAGATAACTTGTTTGAGAAAAAGCAAAGCACTAATATAAAATATAAACCATTAGGATTAGGGAAACAAGTGCAATCTGGCATAGTTTTGGACAGTTTGTAGGTAATTCTATTAAAAAATGATTTAAAGTAATTCTGTAATAGTTTATAATATGTACAAATAGAGTTTGAAGTAGAGTCTAAGTGACTGTTTCTTCAAAGTATAAACTATGAGCACTGCACACACAGCCAGCAAGAGAGGTGCACAGAGCTGCTGTCAACCACCACTGTGGAGAATAAGAGGAGTGGCTTTTGTGTGTACTGCTCTCTTGCCCTTGTGTGCACCATTTGGAACATTGTATGTACAGTTATAGTACAGGAATGCGCTCATAGAGGGGACTCCTATGGGACCATGAGATGGCAGCAGAACATGGCGGTGGCCCCTGACGATGTCCTTTGTGTGACGAAATGCGTAGGGTAGAGTTACGGCATGTGATGTCATTGCGCAACTCCATGGACCACGGCCATCTTGTTGGTTGGAAACACTATACAAACTTGCAGATTTTTACCTCTGCTATTGTAAGTGCATTACTTGAATAAATTGCATTCTTCATTTAACTACTACACTATGAGCGGTTATACTTTTTCCCTATGTGGTGTTTACTGTGTGGAGAAGTATTTTCCATCCTAGGCCACATTGTTTAACCACCTCCCACCCATATAAGGAAATGATGGGTGCAAGGTGGTTCTCTCGTTCTGGGAGGACGTCATATGACGTATTCCCATTCTAACCATGCATGCACGGCTCTGGGAGCGTTTAGCGTGGTGATCGGCAGTGCACATGTGCATGGCATCCCTCGGATACAGCAGATCACCGATCAATGGAAAGAGCCGAAGATGTCGGCTCGGTCATGTGATCAGCTGTGTCCAATCACAGCTGATCTCATGTAAATAGGGAAATGCCAGTTATCGGCATTTCTCTCCTCACGAGCTGTCATGCTGACAGCTCGAGAGGAGAGGAGAGCCGGTAATCGGCATTCCTCGGAGGGGACATGTACACTGATCATCAGGGCACTGATTCCGTCTATCAGTGCCAGTTAGTGCCGCCTATCAGTGCCACCTATCAATGCCACCTATCAGTGCCATATATGAGTGCTGCCTTTCAGTGCCAACAGTGATGCTGTCAATGCCCATCAGTGCCATCTACCAGTGCCTCCTCATCAGTGCCCATCAGTGCCACCTATCAGTGCCCATCACTGCAGCTTCTTTAGCGCATATCAGTGAAGGAGAAAAAATCACTTATTTACAAAATCTTAAAACAAAAACTAAGAAAAAAACTAATTTTTTTTCAAAATTTTCAGTTGTTTTTGGTTTGTTTAGCAAAAAATAAAAAAACCCAGAGGTGATTAAATACCACCAAAGGAAAGCTCTATCTGTCTCAAAAAATGAGAAAATTTTCATATGGGTAGTGTTGCATGACCGCGCAATTGTCATTCAAAGTGCGACAGTACTGAAAGCTGAAAATTGGCCTGGGCAGGAAGGGGGTATAAGTGCCCAGTAGGCAAGTGGTTAAAGAGAAGTCCCTATATCATCTGGATTTCTTGGGACATCCATTTGGGAGTCTTGGATTCATCTGCTGGGCTTGATATCTGCTTTGTCTTGACCAATCCTTCGGGTGGGCAAACCTTCCAGTAAGAGGCCAAATGATTGGGTGAAAGGTGATTCTCTCCTTCTGGTCTTTGGTTCACTTGGCTCATCACAACTGTAACATGTGGACTTTTATATAGACTTTATTCAATATATTATATTGTTTCACAATCATCCTACTTCTGTGGGGATCTGGAACACTATATTTTTTTTTGTTAATTATTATTTTAAGCGCTACACTAAGTTTTTTTTTAATTACCAGCACCATGATTACTGGACTGTTGCTCTGAATTCTTGAAAGCCATTCAATTAAGCTGTTGATGGCCAATGAATGTTAGGTGTATTACCTAATGCAATGTAAAACACAGGAGATTTATTATAATATAACAAAGTAATTTATAAATTTCAATTTGTTTGAGCAAAAATTATATTAAGGCAAAGATACAATACATTGTACTATACATTGCAGGTGTAATACAGAGATTATGTTGGAAGCAGTACCGCTTCTGTTCATTCAAAGACAATGCAGGTCCAGGCTTAAGGATAAAACAATGAATGATATACTAGAGCCCTTCTCTATATCACATAAATATGTTTCTGAGAGCAGAGAGATAAGGGAAAAGTACCTCATGCATCAAAAGAGCGAAGGTCACAGAATGGCACGTATATATATTGGTGTCTGTAATAAAGAGTTATGAAAAGAACGCTTCAAGTCTGATTGTATTCCCTGGTCTAAAGACTTTGCAAAGACCAGAAGGAAAAGGAGAAAAAAGAAGGGTATAGACAAGAGAGGGCAAAAAAGGGAAAGATAAGAAAATCTGATTTTAAAAAGGAATAAGGTAAGTCATAAGGGGATGGGTGAGAAGGGTGAGGGGGGAGCTGGAGAAAGGGATCAGCAAAACAGAGGAAAGGGAAAGATAAAAGGGGAGAAGCCCCTCCTAGGGGCTACCAAGAGGAAAGAAAAATTAGAAATCAGGGTTAAGGGTGATCGGAAGATTTCTGCATTCTCTACTCATCAATGGAAGAAAAGTGTAATATGCTGTGGAGATGGGGAATAGTCAAGTCATGGCTACAAAACCCAGAGAAATTTGTCACGAGTGTCAAAAATTGCCATCAGCTTCTCATTTATAAGTGTTCCCTGAATTTTGCTTTTTACCTCAAAGAAATTAAATAAATCATTGACTCCCATGCATAAGAAGTTGTCTGCTTAGTAGTTGCAAACATATAGGATATTAGGGTCCTACTGTTACGGGAACCATTCTGTTATGATCCGCCAGGTGGTGCCTCAGGCTGCCAACTGACAGACCTACTCAGAGAGTGGGGTCTAAGCCCGGGCTGTGCTTTCACCAGGGCCCCTGATGGTGGGGATGGACTTGAAACAGTCCCGGGCCAGGTCACGACCTCCGAGTAGGCCCACCAGTGGCTGAGGGGACCTCCGGGGACAGGTACCGGGAGAGCCAGATGTGAAGAGGATGGCGGCCCCAGCAGGGTAGCAACGGATCGTGGGCCCGTGAGGGTAAGCGGGGTACAGAATCGGTGGGCAAAGAGTAGTCGGGTCACACGCAGGATCAGCAGGGTAAGTCAGTCCGTAGAATGGTCAGGGCAATCCGGGTCAATCACAGGAGCAGGCAGAGTAGTCAGGACAATCCGGGTCAATCACAAGAGCAGGCAGCATAGTCAGGGCAATCCGGGTCAATCACAGGGGCAGGCAGCGTAGTCAGGGTCAATTAGGGTCACTAGATGGGTGCAGGAACTCAGAATCACAGAAAGACCTTGCGGCAATCTGTGACAGTGCAGGACATCTTTAAATAGTGCGCCCTACACTGTCATTGGCCGGCTAGGACGCGCACCCGGCTGTCATTGGACGCCTGAGGCGCGCCCGCGGCTCCTACTGCGCATGCGCGGCGTCCTGTCAGCCGCAGCTCGCCGGGACCTAGTGCCTGTGTCCCGGCGCGATCTGCCGCCAGTGCGCATGCGCAGGGGACGGCGCCGCGATCCGGGACTACGGGGCCGCGATCCCTGACACATTCACAGGTGGTTTATGTAGAAGTGCCTCCCTGTGATCCTTATGAAGGTTGATCAAAAATGAGGTAATGGTCATGATGTATACTCCATAAATTATGCTCTTAAGGGCAAATCCACCAAATGTGAGTCATAGTACCAGCATCTGGACTGCCCTTGAAGCAGGCTGGAAGATAAGAAGGAATAATTCTCACAAGACATGCAGGGGTACAGTACCAATGTGATAAGACCTAATAGGAACTGTCTACATGTTGTGAGAGCTTCTGGAAATTGTGAACCAAATTACATTCCAGTCCTGAGGAGGGAGAAATTTAATAATTATAACTCCAGCAAGCACAGTACATAGAAGTTTGATAGGAAAGGTTACTTGCACTAGTAGAGTACAATAAGAAATCTACACCTTTCATGAAGTGGTTAGATCTACATAGATATTTGGACACTGTCAGTTCTAGTGGGTCTCCTTAATTTCGAATAAATAGAATGAAGCTGTTGTATTTATCAAAAAAGATCTGCTTTTGGGATTTTGTGTGAAGTTTTACGTTGTTGGAAAGTTCAAATCTCTTCAATTGTATTGGTGGGGTATATTCTGCCCAGGTGGAAAAAGAGGGAATCACACAAGATGGAACAGGGGAGGGGGTTTGAGGAAATAAGGCCAGTTGTCACGTTCCTGGTGGTAGACTGAATTGATGAGGTTGGTTCTCTTGTATTCAGGCCAAGCCCCACTGAAGGTGGAACAGATGGTGCTGAATGACAGGAGGAACACAAGTGTCGGCAAGTGTTGACAGCTGAACTTGCAGCAGAAGATGCAAGCTAGAGAGGTCAGGCAGGACATTAAGCAAGACGCAGAGGTGATGCAAGCTGGAACAGCCAAAGTTAAAGGGACAATCTGCATGTACTGCAGGTTCTGGATGTGTGTCGTGTCTAAGGTCTCAGCAGGCTTTAGGCAAGAACACACTGTGATGGCTCGAGCTAATATGAAGGACAACTGATGCAGGCACTGAGAAGTAGTATGAAGTCAGAGACAGGAGCAAGGTCATAGAGGCAGCCAAGGTCAGTGGCAGATGGTGTCAGGGCTCCCGGGTATGACCAGAGGTATGTGACTGACACAGGGAAACGCAGGCTTCAGATAAGTTATAAACAATATAATTTATTAAAGACTAACAATACAAACATAAACGCAGTGCAATACTAAAACATAACACAGTGCAAACGAACCAAACCAAACCACCCACAGATAACAAAACATACAATGCAAGCTTCGTCAGGCAGGCCAGATCATAAACAGGAGGTCAGAACGTATGGGGTAAAGCAGGAGAATGGTCAGACAAAGCCAGGGATCAGAGCAGGAGAATGGTCAGACCAAGCCAGGGATCAGAGCAGGAGAATGGTCAGACAAAGCCAGGGATCAGAGCAGGAGAATGGTCAGACAAAGCCAGGGATCAGAGTAGGAGAATGGTCAGACCAAGCCAGGGATCAGAGCAGGAGAATGGTCAGACAAAGTCAGGGATCAGAGCAGGAGAATGGTCAGACAAAGCCAGGGATCAGAGCAGGAGAATGGTCAGACAAAGCCAGGGATCAGAGCAGGGTCAGCAACGAATCAGACAGGAACAGGAACAGGAACAGGGTTGCAGGAACAGGATACAGGGCCCAGGAGAAACACACACCAAGGCAGAGTCTGCAGGTCTGGCCATCCCTTAAATACACCAGAATAGGCAGTTTCAGGTGTTTGGCTGGCTGCAAGGTTGAGTCTCTGATTGCTGGGAGCACCCACTGGCCAGCCCTGGTACTGCAGCCCATAAGGCAGGTGAGTCCCACCATTGCTGGCCAGTCCATTCCTGACAGATGGGCAACAAGGTACAGAAGCGTAAGCAGAAGCATGGTCAGAAACAGAGTCAAGGTCAGGAACAGACGGGTAGAGGTACAAGCAGAATCCCGGATCAGGTCAGTAATAAGCCAGGTCATTAGCGGAAAACAGATACAGGGTACACTCAGAACACAGGAGAAGCTGAAGACCTGTCATCCGCACTGACAGTGAGAAAGAGCATCCCTTAAATAGCCAGTTTGGCGCCAACAAGAACTGTGGACACGTTCCAACGTGCTCACACATGTGTGTGTGCTTATGCTTAATTATATGAGCGATGCCGTGCACGTGTGCACATCTTTACACCAGACACCTTACTGGAATTCCCTTACAAGCCAAGTATAACTATAAGTTTGTAAAGCTTTGCCAATCAGCTCTTCATAAATAAGAAATCAGGGTTCAAGCAAACGTCATTTTTATACTGACAAAAAAGGATAGGGGGTGTTGTATTCAGACTGTCTGCATGACGTAGAACAGCCATCGGGAGTATGTTCATTTTAATTAAAGCTTCCTGCTTAATTCACGAACAAGAGAAATATTTTGTGCAGTAAGAGGAAAAAGACTAGATGTATAATGTGATGTCTAGTATATTAACCACACAAGTAAAGTCCTTTAAGTCCAAAGGTGGTTAAAGGATAATCCAACAATGTTTGACTTAGTGGCAGCATATTTCAAAAGAGCTAGAAGAGACTGTGTGAACCATAAAAGAGAGAGAAGCAGCACAATAAAAGCAAATAATGTATTTCCACAAAATTG